GTGTTACAGATATGCACTGTTCTTGGTATTGCCATGTTCACTTCTTGTAGTAAACTAACCTTGACTTGGTTACCAGTTCTATGAAGATTAGTTCTGTCTGATGGCAGTTTTTTCATAAGGAAAATGTGACCTTTCTCATATGTAAATTCCCCTGCCCCCACCCCCCCTTTTTTTTTTTTTGGTGGGACTTTTGTTAGCATTTTGTAGTGTCCTCGCTTCATTAATAATGACACTGGATGTGCTGCATGTGGAAGCAAATGACTTCACCCTCTCTAGTTGCTGTGCTCACAAAGAAATGTGGAAGTGCTATAGTTAAGTGACTCCATTTTCATTCCAGAGTCTGTTTTCTTCTCATATCATGCAACACAGGCATGCTAAGAGTCTAGTCTTTGGTTTTTGGCATCAGTCACTGTACAACGATCTGCAGTTGCCAGAAAGGAATACTTTGGTCCAAAGCAGGTGTCTGTACCCTCACACTCCAGACTGCTCCAACAAGGAGACATGCAGAGCTTGTTCTCTTCAGGATCAGTCTTTCGCTGAAGAGTCCGTGGGAATTTTACTGCCAAGTTCAGTAAGAGAAGTGTGGGGGCCCCATTTTGTTTCTTTTGTGAGCTGATGACTTGCCTGTATTTCGCTCACCCAGGTGAACATGCCTACAAATGTTCCTCCTGCTCATTTTCCACCATGACAATCAGCCAGCTGAAAGAGCACTCCTTGAAAGTGCATGGGAAAGCACTGACACTACCAAGACCCCGCATTGTCAACATTGCAGCCTCACACGCCCACCACACCTCCAAGAACCACACTACTGCTGAAGAAGTGGAGGACTCTAATGGTAAGAGGTGCCTCAAAGCAAGAATTTAATTGTCTAAGGTGCCACTTAGTACTTTTATTACAAAAAAAATTACAGCAGGTAGCTTGCCCAAAAAGCAGCTTCATTTGTTTATTAAAAAGAAACAGAAGTTGCATCAAAACCAAGAGGAAATGTGGTGCTGCAGGAAGTGACCTGCTTAGATTGTCACCAGTTCATACTACGTTAACTTGTCCTGTCATCAGTTGACTTTAGAGTATGTCAATGCTGGCTTTACTTCTTAGCAGAGATTTAAATTGTAGAAAATTTTCAAAGGCAGAGCTTTTATTGATAGCCAGTGGGAAAGGAATCATCCAATTCCATCCGTGCTCCGGAAAAAAACCCCTTTATCTTGTTAGTGGATCACTTCAATGAAACCACATGATTAAGCTTAAAATGTGAACCTTTAATGATAGTAAAAGTAATTATTATTCTTGTCCTTGCTGCAGAGGACACCAAAAATACCTTCAGATACTAAGCTGCATCTGTAGGAAGAAGAATCAGAATAATTTTCTATTCCATGCTTTCCTTGAAAGCTGCTAATCCCTTTGTGCTGGAGGTGCATGCAGAAGATATTTGGAAAGCAGCAAAGGAATGGACACTGTTAACAGAGAAAATGCAGACTCATAGAAGAGATGTTGTGTGGTGTCACAGAAAGCATTAAGGCTTTGTAAGCAGTAGCTCATGAGGAATGTTTTGGGTGTCACTTTCTTTGGGAAAAAAAAAATCCTGGATGAGTTGCCTTGACATGGGTGGAGAATGAAGGTGGCTATAAATAAAAGGTTAAGAGAATTAGAAGACTAACTGTCTTCTATTAGAAGATGGGAAAAAATACCCTTTTTTCAGTAGTTTGAAAGATTCTTAGGGGTTTTTGTTGTTGTTGTTTTGCTGGTGTAACTGGTGAACTAAGAATGGGAGGTAGGTATTATCAATAATAATTTTGTAGCATTTTTGGTCTCCCATCTTCCATTCTTTCTTTTGTCACCAAAAAAAGAGTGAAATGATAGAGAGTGAAAGGTAAGAAATTCAGAAAATGGCAGAAAGGAATTTAAAGAAAAAAGTAATCAGCATAGAAATACTTTATTGAAGATGAAAAGAGACGTGAATAATATTTTTGTGGTTCAGCAAGTCACTTCCAGGGTTAGAATCAGAATCTTATCAAAAGCTTTTGACCAGCTTCTTTCAGACTACTTTTTGTCAAAGGATTGTCTGGAACAGTGCAATGAAGTCTTACTAACTGAGCTTTTGTTTTTGCTAATGCTAGCTTAAACTAATCCAACAAGCAGAGTACATCGTGTGATGTATTCTGATGTGCTTTTTTAAATTGGTTTTTTTGGGTTTTTTTTTTTAAATAAATGTTTCATTACTGATTAAGAAGTGGAGAACAATTTTCAGTGGCTGTCCTGTTCTTTCCTATGTACTGGCAATCTTTTGGTGGCAGTGGTGTGTTGAGAGATACAGAAGGACAGTATTTGAATTTGGGAAGGATTATTTACTCCTTTTTTTGCTTATCCCAGAGCTCAAAGTCATTATTAGTGAATTTAAAATTTGAGTGCAGATCTCTGTAGAGGATAATTTTGCAACGTTTAGGAACTCTTCCTAAAGATACATAAAATTATGTCTCTGTTAACGAAAGCCTTTCATTAGGTTGACTAGATCTGTGTTGCAGCCTGAAACCAAGGCAGAATTTGTTCCAATTAGTTTGATTGTCTTTAAACAGGGTTAATGGTTAAGTCACTTTGACAATAATAGAAGCCACCCACTGGGGAGATAGTCAGACAACTACAGGTGTTATAATAATTGTGTTAACATTTTCAGCATTGTTTGAGGAAGGAATAACCTGTTTTAAGTAATTTTTTTGCATTGCGAAGTTGGCTGCAGATCAAGTTAATGATGGCTGCTCTTATGACATCATTTACTTTTGTTATTTAGAAGGAAATAAATCAACGTCTCTGTGGCCAAGGCCTGCAAGTTGCAGCTGATTAGTAGGACTAGATGAAAGACTGGTCCCAATTATAGGAAATGCAGGTCTATGTGACTGCCACTATTATGTCCAGCTGGAGCCAATATCAAGTGGAACACACATGGCATAGCATAGTTGGATTTTGTCTGTGTTAGTGTGTATGAATAACCTGCAGTGCAGGCTGTGATCAAGTTAATTCACTGGGGATGCAAAATAGAATGAGGGCTGGGGTGAAAGGCAGACAAAAGGTTTTCTCGCACTGTTATGAACTTGTTTTATAGGCTGGTAGGTGTGCAGAAGGCTAATATAATTGAAATGGTTGCAGAAGAGGACTGTCTGAGGATGAATATTGTGATTGGAACAGGAAACAAACCAGGATGACTTCGGGAGATTTGAAAAGCTAGCAGAAATCATCTTGCCAATTGTGAAGCCCTGTAAAAATGGAGAAAAGGGAAAAGGGTACTGAATTGTAAAAGCAGGGTGCATGTCTGAATAGAACTGTTCTGGAAAACAGTCCAGTGGAACTTCTGCTGATGATTTTTATTCCTGTAGAAATTGTTCCCTGAGGGGCCTTTCTTAGAACACTTCTCTTGTTCTTTTAGATTGATCCATTCATTAAAAGATGCAAATACATTTAAACTTTTGTGACTCATCTCTTTTAGTTCTTTGTTGGTAGCAGCAAGCATGCCTGAAGTGTTCAACTGTATATCCTGGAGATGATGTGGGTGCTTGATACACTTTTCATGGAAATGAAGTTAGTGGAGTAGGTGCTGAATGTTTTAGGTAGATTTATCCCTGGCAACTACTTTGTCCTTAGAAAGCGTAACAACCACTTCAGTGCTTGTATTACCTCTCTCAGGGCAGTAGTGTAAGAAGGCAATTGTGTCGGTCTCAGGGAGTCAGCAGAGAAGACTTGATTAGAGAGACATATCATTGGAAGATGCTGCTTTTTGTATCCTGTGTCTCTTTGCATGTCGGGCAGTATTTTAATATGTAAGGAACATCTTTTAATTGCATCCTCATCTGACAAGAGAGAAAACACGTTTTTGGGGGACATGGTGTGATGATGTTTTGTTTTGGGACTGTTTTTCTAACAAACTGCTACAAAAAATCAGCAAATGTTGATCATCAGTGCAACTTTTCTTAGTGTCGCGTAGGGGCACTGAATGGTTGTGGTTTCTAGCTCTTGTTGAAATGATAAGGTTGCCATTGTAGTAAAATAGTCTTTTACCCTCCCACGAGTTTACAGCTATTTTTCTTCTTGCAGTAAAGAAATAGTCGTGTTTGGCTATTTATTTACATTTGTGTATTTGGCTTTTTTTTGTTTGTTTGGATTTACTTACTTGCCCTGTACACTGAAGTGTGCCTTAACACTTTTGAGAACTGAACACAGTAACAACTCCCTGTAAACTGAAATATTAAAAATCCTTTAACAAGATCTGTTTCTGTGTTCTTTCACAGTCTTTGTGAGAATCAGAACTTATATTTATGTTAACCTCTGCCCAGAAGGGTTGTATAGATTTATTTATTTTACTGTCATCCTATGGGGCAGTATGTTTCACAGATAAGGGCTTCCAGTGTTGCATGCTGCAGGATCAGCTCTGTTCCTGTTGACTTAGTGCAAAGCAGTGGAATCCCATTGTCTGCATTGTCAAGGCATAACATTAGAAGATTACCATCTCTTTCAGGAAGGAGGAGCTGGAAGCAAGCAGAGACACAAAAATTGAATGACTGAATGCTAGAAAACAGGAATAGGAACAACAGCAACAGGTGTTATCTGGAAAGTGATCATCAGCTAAAGAGAAAGCACATGGCAACAGACGCTGCTTGTGTAAGCCCTGGTGTTAAGCATGTTTGCTTGTAGTCAAGGACTGTGAAGGTGGTGGACTGCCTTCCTCATATAAACTACTGGTGAAATCCATGAGTGCAACCTACTGTCATAAAGCCCATAAAGCAGAATGACTCAATAGATTAAAAACGGTTTCAAGTTATGACTTCACCCTCAGCAAAAGCTTCTTGGGAGCATGTAAAATACCTGCCTTCAATTGCCCTGGCTAGTACTACTGCTTTTTTGAGTAGCTCTTTATTTTGTGAAAGTAGCCCCTTTGGTCTGCCTGTGTTGCAGAGCAAGCACTACTCTTTATTCATATGCCTGGCAGATCTGAAGCCTCATAAATGTGTTTATATCATGACTGTGTGCAGTAATTAAAAATAATAGTTCTTTTTATTTTACTGCTTAAGAACATCAAAGTGTCAAAATAAAACAGTAAGGTGCAAGTGATGGACTAGATGGACCTGGATGTGGCTTCCAAGTGTGTCAGTGTCAGTCACACTGCTATTGTACAAGATCATTACTTTTTAGTGGTAACCAGTTCTTGAAATGTAGAAGGCAGCACACTTTGTGTGTGCCCTTAAAGCTTAATAATCATGCTTTTCACTGTTGTACAAACCAAACAGGACCTATTATTACTTACCAGCACACATCACAAAACACATGCAGAGTCAGAACTAGAAATTATTTTTTTTCCTGCACCTGGTATGTCAGCATCTTCATTAAATTTAATTACTTGCAGCAGCAAATGTGTTGAAAACTGCTAAGTGAAACACCCTGTGTCCTGTTCCAGCTTTTTCTGAACTTTAGCCTTTGCCAGTGGAAAAAAACTTTGCCTCATCTGGAGACTGAAATATAAATACATCTGCTTGCTTTGCCAGAGCTAGACTGGGTACAGAACTGCATGACTGAGTCCTGTTTCTGGGACCGTTGTTTAAGAATTGTAAATCTCTTCCAATTTCTGTACACCTTTTCAAAGTAGATAATTCATAATCAGGATGTATGTCTTCCATGTCGCTTGACAGATTAAATCCTGAGGGGTGC